GGCCCGTCAGCATGTGTCCGTCCAGGCGCAGGCTGGCTCGACGGTTTCGGAGGGGGGGACGTGCAGAACAAGGCACAGTCTCCTCGCCCTCGGATGACAGCTGTGAATTATTCCGAAGGCCAGGCGCAGCGGACGTGGGGTCGCCTGAGACCGTGCGCTGCGGGGTGTGGCGGGGAACAGCGTGACTGGATCCCACCGAGCTCTAATGGACGGAGCTGGGAGCCCCCACCCCCTTTCTCTAACGCTGGGGTCCAGAGCCCCCCTTTGCTCCAGGATCACCTGGGGGGATCTGAAAGAGTTTGCTGGGCCCTGGTTCTGACTCAGTAGGTCTGGGTGGGCCTGGGGATTTGCATTTTTGACAGGTTCCCCGGTGAGGCTGCTGCTGGCCCCTGCTCCGAGGCGCCCTCCATGCCGATCCCAGCGGCGGTTGGGGGCGCCCTCCGCCTTCCTTGAGAAGGCGCCCGGGCCGCAGGAGAGGGGTTTGATGAGATGAGGACACGAGCGTCGTCAGCGCATTGATGTAACTCCGGTCCCGGCCGTCTCTTGGGCTCCCCTGTGGCCTCACACACATGCTTCTGACACCTTCAGGCTCCGCCGCCGCGGTCCTTGGGGAGCGCAGCCGGGCGCTGAGATGACGGGGAATCTGTTAATGATTCCCCAGCATTTCCCGCAGCTTAATGAGGTGAGATTAACTTTCACAGGAGAACAGAAGCCCCCCAAACGCAGGATTAAACGCCGTCGACAGATCAGACAGAACCTCGGGAACGCTCCGGGCTCCGGGCGGTTGGGGATCCCTAGAAGCAGGCGAAGGCCAGGGCTCAGCAGCCGGCCGAGCGGGTGATGGTGAAGGTGGGCCGGGCGGGACTGCGCAGCCCAGTCCTTGCTGCGAGGAATGGGGCGAAACTGTGCTGATGGCAACGCCACGCACGAGGGGCCGGGGAGCGCCTGCCGTCCACGGGCTGTTTCCCAGTAGCCGCCACGTAAGATAGGACTTAGTTCTGCAGCAATTTAAGGGGGTGTCTAGACTGCGCCTTGGTGCCCTTGGCTGCCCCCTTTCCATTCGCTAAGACGGCAACGGAGTTAACTTGGATGCGCCCGAATCCATGCAGTTCAGCACTGAGAAGTGGGCTGTTCTGATAATTCTACTTTATTAGTTATAACAATAAAAACAACAGGCCTGGGTTGCCCGGGCTGTCAGTCAAAGGCGTCTTCATCGTTAAGGGGGCTCGGAGGTAATTAATCATCTTTCTGCGGAAGCCGCCTGAGCCTTCCCACCGAACCCTCCGGGACCACACCCGGGAGGGCCTGGGTGCGGCAGGCGTCCCCTCAGGCGTCTTCAGTGTCACGGGACGGGGCCGGCGCTGCGTTCGCAGTCTCCTCCTCGCCTGCGTCCCGCTGGCTGAACGCGTCTTCCTGCCAGCCGCCGAGGCCCTTCCGTGTTTACTTAATTATAAGAAATATGAACCTGGGACTGTTTTTAGCCAATAACCTGTCTGAGCTGGCAAATTCAATTGTGCTTAATAAAGGTAACGTCCGTAGCCGCTCCTTCCACATCCGGCAGCTGCCGGCCGTCTGAGCCGGGGCTCCGCAGGGGGAGCGACGGGAGACCTGTCAGCGTGATCGCGGCGCAGAGATGCCGGCAAGCACGCGCACACGCACACACACGCACACAAACACACGCACACACACGCACACACATGCACGCACACACACACGCACACACACGCACACAAACGCGCACACGCACACACGCACACAAACACACACACACGCACACATGCACACACGCATGCACACAAACACACACACGCACGCACACACANCACACGCACACATGCACACACGCATGCACACAAACACACACGCACGCACACACGCATGCACACACACGCACACACACACCCCCCACCCCAGCGCACACAGTTAATTAACGGTCCTTAGGGACTCCGGAGACTAAGATGGGACGTGTACCTTCAGTCCTGATGGTGACATGGGAGTCACATTCCAAGGATCTGGGCGTGTTTACACGTTTGAAGCGTGTGAAGGTTCAGTGTCACAGGAGGAGGGGGACAGGGGCCATTGAAAGGAACGAACTAAACGCCGGAGGGCTTGGTTCTGGGTGAGACGCCCCAGCCTGAGCTGGCCCATCTACAGAACGCGTGTCATAACCGTGTGCTCCGTGAAGTTTCTCCATTCTTGACCCTCCCACTTACATGGAAGTGACCGCTCAGGAGATGTCCGCCCCTGGAGGGTAATGTTGACAGAGAAGACCGTCTGCTCAGGTTGCTTCTCGCACTTGGGGCGCATTGGCGTTTACCGTGTGCTGGTTCGGAGCTCTGCCCTTTACAGTTCAGAACCTGCACTTACTTTGCCTACACATGATCTAAAAGTGAGTCGACACCATGCTCTTAACTGCAGTAAGTTAAGTTGCTTCGTAATTTCCACAGCAGGATGCCCGTAATGTCAGTCAGACCCCATCACCCCGTTAGGTAAAGTCCGTCGGCACTGCCGGCTGGGGCGCTGTTTTCATCCCGCTCGGCATCGGCCACGTAGCTTCCGTGAGGTCGGAGGTAAAAAGCAAAGCTAGCGAGCGTGTTCTCTCCCGCCTCCTACGGCGTGAAGAGAAAGTCACAAGTGGGTGAACTGAGCCTCGAACGTGGAGCCTTCTGGGTGCCGTCTCCTGTGTTCCCCGAGGTGTTAGTGGAGCTGAGGACGAGAGGCTCGGTCGTTGGCTGAATGCGCCCGTTGTCCGCCCTGAGAACAGGCGCCATCGAGCGAATGGATACACGTGTGTGCCGTGAACACCCGTGTTCATGTACCAGACTCCCGGAGACGCTCATCACTGACGATCACGGAGACACGAGGTGTCAAAAAGCACTGACGGCGATGTCTGTGAACGCGTAGCCCAGGAGGCTGACTCACCTGCACAGTGAAACACCGAGACCACTGCAGGAGCCCAGACCGCCGCCAGCTGGGTCCACCTTTCTCTCGTGGGGTGTAACGAACGGCTGAGCGGGGACCCCGTCTCGACAGCGTGCTCCGGACAGGCCGCCTGTCTTCTGCGCGGCCGGTGTGACCGCTTGGGGACAGGTGTTCAGGAGCATTGGCTCCACCTACGTCTGAGCAGATGGTGGTCCTTTTGTTGACTTGATGTCCTGGTTTTGTACGAGAATCGCAGCTACGGTTAAACGGCATCGACTCGGACTCGTTCCTCCTCGACGTCAACTTCCGCTTTAGGGGGTCTGCCTGTCTGAGTTGCCTTAAGCAACACCACGTACCCCTCAGTTCGGGACTGTTCTCCCCGTTTTCCATGCAGGGAACCCGAAGGTGGGAGAGTGTTAGTGACCATCTCAAATAAACAGCAGAAATACTTCACAGGGATCCCGTTTCACTTGCCTCGGTTTCCCTGTCTGAACAGCGGGCAGTGTTAGAGCCACTGTGCATATGCTCACCTCCCACAGCAGCCTCATAGCCATGCTCTTTGATATTACTCATCTCTTCACTTTATGATGGAAAGAGAAACACTGCGTAATAATCGCTTCTGTGGTCCAGTGTTTAAGCCTTTAAAGCCAACATTTTAAACACGCCACCAATGGAACAGACCGAGCGGCTTCATGCTAACATACAGCAATGACTAGCGTTACTCAGTATGGTTTTATTAGCGTCTCCCTAGGGGGTCTTGTTAGAATTTTTCCCCTAATTACTACCATTCCGATCACTGTAATTTTAATGCCACAGACACTGTATCTGTTTATATGTTGTGGCTCTTTTTTTTGGGGGGGGGGG